AAAACAAGTATATAGCTCAGTTCTAATTTCACTATAAGTACTTTTCCTAGGTCAGTGTTTTTGTATGTGATTTATTTATTGTTCATGCATAGTCTAATGTCTGTCTTTTGGGCCAGCCACCTCCCTAAATGTTAGTACAAACACTCCTGTTTAGGGCAATAGGAAGAACCACCCACAGGTAATTCAGAGCATTGCTTATCTCGAAAGAGGGGGCGGACAGTAGTTATCGAAAATAGTTTTTTTTAACTTTATTTAATCTTTATTGGTAAAAGGGTAAAACCAAGGCACAACATGTCCACAGAAAGACACTTACAGGCCAAAAGCAGAAACAACTTACAAAGACAAATGTGCATAAAGCATTCAATTGGCAATCATCACGTACAGGAGAGAATACAATAATGAGACTCACAAGATAGTCTCTAAATAAAGAATGTTGGGGAACTAGAATGTGTCAGGTGCCTGCCTGCCCAGCACCAGTTTTGTAGAGCTGGGGAGTTGAACTTGGGTCTCTGAGGTGGTGGTGGTGGTGGTGGTGCTGTAGCATTCCCTTTGAACCACCAGGAGGACTCAGCTCTCCTTACAGATAACTACTCAGCAGTTGAGGTATCTTAACCAGTTGACATCCGCGGTGTTAAACCCCCTTCCCATCCAGGCCATTTTTCAGTATTCAGCGCTGCGGTACTTTGACTGACATTTATTCCGTCATGCAGCGCTGTACTGAAATGAATTTTATACCCTTTTTTGGGGACAGATAGAGCTTTCTTTTGGTGGTATTTAATCACCACTAGGGTTTTGATTTTTTACTATATTAAAGGAAAAATTACCGAAATAAAAAAAAAAAAAAAAAAGTGCCGTCCGTTTTTTTTACAACGGGCGGACGGCAAGTGGTTAAAGTCTAGATTCTAAAAGGCAGGGTCGTGGTCTCCAATACCTTGTCCACTGGAAATGGTATCCTGTTACTGAACGCTCCTGGGTACCTGCAAAGAATTAAATCTGCAATTAGCCCAGCCTTCAAAAACTGAGCATTTCCTGTGCTCTGGGCCCATTTATTTGGGTTTGTTCCTGTGTGTGCTGCTGTTGGATTGATCGCTGGATAATATTAAGACTTTGGCCTCGCTGCCTGTTCGTGTTAGACCTCGGCCTGTTGCTCGCCTACTCTCTTGGATCCTGATTTTGTACCTGATTGCCAGTTTGTTGCTGATGCTGCTTGCCTGACACCCCCTAACCTAAACCTCAGCCTGGCTCCACTTCGGACTCCACCTTCCGCAGGTACCATACAGAGTGCAGTACAATACGTAAGGACCAATTGTACCATTACGGAATAAAAAATACAGTATGAGGCAACGCACAAGAAGACATTAAAGAGGCAGAACGAAATAAGAGGAGGAAACTTGAGTTGCTGGGAGGGAAGGAAGCAGACCAGAATAGAAGGGAGTGAAAAACCAGCTAAGTAAACAGAAACCATGGGAGACAAAGATACGACAGGAGAAGAGACACCCGATAATTCAACTAATGACAAAAAAAAAAAATTCCACTAACAGGCACCACAGGACATAGAAGGCCACGCAGAACCACACCTCCAACATGTTGAGGGGATTGCAGGGTTGATCTTGTGTAGCACAGGGGGAACACGGTACCAACGTGATACTATTTTATATCCGTCTTGTTCTTAAAATGTATTTGCATTTGAAGATTTGTGAGCAAAATAAAGGGTCTTGTCCCTCTGTTGAGGGGAAAAAGACAGCCCCAGTTTATTCTCCCATCTCGAGAGAAACGATGGGGGGGAGAGAAATCCGATGGAGTGACCAGAAGCTTGTAAATCAGGGTTAAGGCATGTCTGACCGGCTTACGTCTCCTACAGATCTCCTCAAATGCCGTCAGTCTCTTCCCAACTCCCAAAGAGGGGGGTATAGAACGCAAAAAGTGACTTAATTGGAAGGCACTCCAGGCGTCCAGGGCAGGGTCCATTAGGGACTGAAGAGATAACAGAGGTAACCACTGACCGTTAACATGAAAATCAGTCACACACAAAACGTATTCACCAGGCTGCGGAAACACCTATTCTCTAAACCAGTGGGGAGTGGGGGAAGGCTGGATCCCCAATCACCACGGTGAGCGGAGAAGGAAACTGAACTAGAGGAGGACCCGAAAGACATTCCGCCCAATGTGGAGCGTAGCCCCCACTGTAGGATGGTTCGCCAGCTCAGAGGAGAGGGGACAGGAAAGCCAAGGAAGGCCCGCTAATGGAAGGGAAGATGACTCCAAGTCCATAGAGACCCACTGTTTATGTTGTGTGTTGCAGCACTAATCAACAATCCTATTAAGATGAACAGCCTTATAATAAAGTTCGACATCTGGAAGGCCAATCCCACCACTCGATTTGGGTCGATTGAGAAGATGTCTGCTAATTAATGCCATAAGAACACAAATGTAATAGTCGTTGGAGCCAGGAGAAGAACTGTGGAGGCAATCGGATAGGTAGGGCCTGCATGAGATAATGGATCCTAGGTACGATCGTCATCTTGGAAAGGGTTTTTTACCTCCGTGCAATTACATTGTCCTGTGAAAAGTGTTTAAGCTTGTCATCCGATCTGGCCTACAGGTAGATCAGAAGTTTGTCATCTAATGTCTAGCCACATTTTGTAGTGTAACTGCACCTTTCATTGATATTGTGGGTTACCCTACTGATGGCACCCCTGCCATTCTTCTACTCGCCTGTCCCTGGTCTAGCGAGATATCATATACAAAGTTGTAGAGCCACTTGTCCAAATCTTTCAAGCTGGGCCATGTGCTGTGCAGGTTCCATTCCTTTAGAGAGTTTGTACTACACCGGAGCACCACGTATGAACTCTGCATAGGATTAAAAGAAGAGCGCACAGCACATGTGCAAGACTGAAGATTTTGCAAATGCCTCTGTGGAGGATAACTTGTAGGATTGGAAATAGGGGAGCATAAGACTGGCGAGTGGGCTGTGGCCACAGCAAGCTACCAAATGAGTGTAACTGCAAAGGTTACCTTGTGTTTTTCAGAGTGCTGCAGGAGCCACAAAACCAAAGGCACTATATTCAGCAAATTGTTACCAGAATTCTAATGGTTGCTCTAATGATCTGTCCTTATTGAGAGTCTTAAATCGGGTATATAGACATTTATATTTTCTTTCTTCAACCTGCAGGCTGAATGAAGAAGTTATAACAGATTCCTCCATCCACGCTAAACAGTGTGGATGAACGAATCTCCCGGTGCTTCTATTGTGTTCAAACAGTGGCCACCAGCCGCTGTCTGAATACCTAAATGGTGCAGCTAATTGGCTGCAAGCTCTGTTCAGTGAAAGATTTTCTAACAACACAATCCTTCAGCAAAAGTTAATCTAATGATCGACTTCTGAAGTAATAGGATCACCAAAATGAACAAATGTTGGCTGATTCCTGCGCAATCAGCCGAATTTCGCTCTGTGTGTACCCGGCTTTAGGACAGAAAAGTGTGGAATTTGTTTCTCGCATTAACTTCATTAACATACAATGCACAATCCAGGCTTTTAACCCTTTGTTAAGACGGCCAGTGTTCAAATCTACTTTACACATTATAATGAAATGAGCCAGCATAGTAAAAACACGGTTAACAAACCCCTCACAGCCGGTCCTGATATTACAAAGAGGAGAAGCAAGGTGAAATGTTGGCAAGTAAAAAGCAATTTAAACTGCAAGACGCAGTTTTTAACTTTTTACTTATGCTATGTGAATGGGAACATGTAACAAATATAAAATAGGCGTTATCCCAATTTGGCTGAAGTGAGTGATTTTACACTCATCCTCATAGTTAGAGTTGACATGTGACAATTAAACTGTCACACGTCGGCTCTATTGATCGGGATGTGAGAGAACACATACTGTCCCTCGCTCACTCCCCGCAGGGATTCCCCTCTCCAGTCCTCCAGTGCTGACTGGAGGAATGGACGGGGAGCGGTGGGCACAGCTGGAACTGCCTCTAGATAGGCAGAGCCAGCTGCCAATCAGCCAGTTGGGTGGATCCAGACAGTATTGTCGGGATCCGTCCCGGCTGCTGCGCTCTCAGTATATAGTGGACAATAGCTTGCAATATAGTGAGCTTTGGGTCACGGGAGGACGTTAGTATATGTCCTCCTGTGACCCTAAAGAGAACTATGGGATAAAAAGGTTACCCCATAGTTCTCTTTTTAAGTATATTCTCAGTAATTGTTTTACAAATAAAGTTTTCAAATAACTTTTTGTTGTTGTTGCATATCTGTATTTTTATTCCACATCTGTAGATGGCAAGGACATACATGCTGCAATGCTGGGGTTCTGTTATTTTTAGTACGTTTTTGATTCATTGTAATTTTGTTTAAAATGTCTTCTTAAGAAAGCAATGTCAGCTAAATCTCTTAGATGATGTACAGCAGGGAAATCCATTTAAACTGACCGTTTGGGAAGTTCCCTGTGGCTGACTCAATCGCTTGCAACCTTCTGGAATGCTATATAAACAGATAAGACGGGTTGTACTTCCCAGAGGCTGATTAGCAGAACAGGACAGTCGGCAGCTCAAGCACTGCAGAGGCTTTTACAGGTTGTCTTGTATCACAATGATCATTGTCATCGGATTGACTGTACTACACTGTGAGAAATATGGTCTGACTTCATTAAGAATTCATTTGTTGCTTTGCACGACTAGTATATTGACTTGTGTTTTTTTTCTGGAGGCATACACAGCTATTAGAACTTGTGTTCCTTGTTCTGTACTTCCGGATACTTTGTATGCTGTTCATGTTTCTTTATGTGAAATGTTTCTTTGTCTTCAGAAAACTGGAGTGCCCATTTATTTTAGTTATAGGGTATCATAAGGTGACAAGTATTGAGGACTACTGGATGCATTAGATTGTAATTTTACAACATGTTGTGTTATTTCAAGTACTGAGAGGCGTTATACAATGATTGTTTCCCACAAAGCTTCTTTTGCTTGAACTCATTTTGTTTTTCTTTTTAAAGTGCAAAGGACGATGCTGACCTTGATGCTCTTGCCGCAGAGATAGAGGGAGCTGGAGCCTCCAAGGACCAAAAAGCCAAAGGGAAAAAAAAGAAAGACAAGAAAAAGCCAGAATTTGAGTAAGTAAAGTCAGTGACTTTACATTGTGTGTGTGTGTGTGTGTGTGTTGGGTTTTTTTTTTTTTTTTTTAGGAAGTATTTTAACCCCTAACAGATTTATTTATTTTTTTTAGTTTGTATGTCACCACAGAAAACATTCATATTTGTCCTGGAAACTTTCATATTGATAGTGAGAACATTTTATATTTGTCCTGAGAAATCCAAAATTATGAAGTTGTTACTAGAACAGAAGGTGAGGGAAGTCTTCCTATGGGGATGCCTGTTATAATGACAACTCTGGGCTATTCACAGAAGGGTGAAGAGTTTGGAGAAGACAGGAAAAGTGAACAATCTAGGACAGCATAGCTGAACTGGAAAGTGAGCTGAATTGAAGACTTTTTCCAAATCTGCTATTTTGGCCTAGATTGTTGCCTTCTTCAGGCACTTCACCCTTTTGTGAATAGCCCTGAACTGTCCCAGTAGGACTTTCCTGTACCTTTCTGGTTTGTCCCCAGCAGGGAAAAGAATGAATGGTTTTAACTAGGGATGCACCGATACCAGTTTTGTTGGTATTGAGTACGAGTACTGATATTTATATATTTCGGTACTCATCGATACAGAGTACAGATACTGGTATTTCCAGGTACATGGAGCCGGCTTGCCGGGCAGTGTCATTACCCATCAACCGGCTTTTTGATTGCCTGGGAAGCCAGCTTCGTAGCCAATTGGCATCGAACCGACCAAACAGATCTAATAACATAGTGACACAACCTCCACCCTGCAGACACTCCATTCTCCTCACACCCATATCTATCCTCAGGAACAGTCATTACCGTACCACAGATGTCCCTGGGCAGATACTGCTCTCCGAGCCGCGTTACCTCTCCCGGATCTGGCCACGTCTGTCTCGCGAGATGTACAAACTCCGTCTGACTCCAGTGTGTGTACAATGTCTGCACCACCTGCTACTGTGCATGCCCGGCGCACTCACTCAGAAATTCTCTAACAGGGTTATTATTATACCGCCGATCACGCAGCTGGTGTGGGCGCTGTACACAAACCAGAGTCAGGCGGCATTTGCACATCTCGTGACATTGAGACGTGGGAAAATCCAGTAGAGCTAAAGCGGCTTGGAGAGGGTGTCTGCCCGGCTGGCCGAGGGACATCTGTCGCCCGGTGATGACTGCTCCTGAGGATGGATATGGGTGTGATGTGAGGGGAATGAGGTGTCTACAGGATGGAGTTTGTGTTACGTATTATTAGATCTCTTTGGCTGGCTCCATGCTGGGCTTCCCGGCCAATCGGCATCCAGCCGGCCAAACAGCATGGAGCCGGCTTCCTGTTCCCTCACTGCACTGCCTGTCGGAGCATTTGGACGAGTACGTGTACGTGTATACGTACTTGGTATTGGCACCAATACTAGTATCTGTGCATCCCTAGTTTTAACCATTGCCTACCTTATCCAAAACTAATGTATTGTGTGCCAAACTTTGCCCTACTGAATATTGCCATGAAATTGCCTTTAGCTGTTGTGATAGCTATACATTTCTTATAAGACAACTTTTTTTTTTTACCGTGTATCAGAATACAGTACTGTAGTATTTTTCACACACTTATTAAAGTGACACTAAACTTGAGTAAAACCTTATAAATGCACTCAACCCTAATTATTAATAAAAATGTATCTTATTTGTGTATCACTCAGCTGTAGATCCTCAAATCATCTCTGAATTCCTGATGACATTGTCCTTCCTTCTGGAGGGTGGCTACTTTTGTTCCCCATGGTCCCTGTGTTGTAAAGTAGCCACCGCTCCAAGTTCACTCCCGGATGGACTACAACCTCATGTTTAGTTTACCAATTTGTATTAAGATTGTAGTCCATCACGGTAGTGAACTTGGAGCTATGACTACTTTACAACACACACAGGAACCATGGGGAACAAAAGTAGCCACCCTCCAGAAGGAAGGACAGTGTCAGCACCAATTGAGAGATGATTTGAGGATCTACAGCTGAGTGATGCACAAATAAAATACATTTTTGTTAATAGTTAAGGTACTTGAAGATTTAACTCCTGAGTTTAGTGTCACCTTTTAATAAACAGCAATCTCGTGCCAAATGTAGTGAGCTGCAATAGCTCATCTATTGTACACAAAATATAAATAATTGGTGTCCCGCTAATATAACAAAAATAATATACTATATGTAAACACTTATTGAATCTATATGTGCGAAATCAAGTGATCAACAGTAACCAATCAAAACCATATATCATATAGTGTATAAAGTTCACACAATCATACAATGTTATCTGACTTGTGTTGTCTCCCTGTTCCAAGTGATCACATCTAACATATGTAATATCACAAAATATAACACTCCTTGAAGTCTTAAATGAAAATATCTATACACTAGTGTCCTTTTTGCAATCCAATCTCTGTGAGCCCATCTCCTGGTGCAATCACACGAAAATCCAATCTTTACAGGTAAGCGAGTTCAACTGCCCAGTGCTGTCGCACAGAATCCACAATTAACAGTTAACTCCAGTTCCTCCACCAATGTGCACACCTCCGCACACTATCGCCTCTTGCCTTGCAGTTAGACCTCGATTAGGTCTAGTAACAGCATTCCCTTTATTCCACTATATACACTTTCACAGACTGTCACCATCGGTAATCTCTCATAGTTCTCGATTTAGATCCAAAAAATGTAGAGGTAGAAAAAAATCCATAGAGCGCATCATGTGTCTGGAGGGACACAACGTACGTCGGGTGGAGTCGGATAACAACAGCAAAAGGTTTCCCAGCACACTCACCAGCCAGCATGCAAAAAAACGTGTCTCACAGCTAAGGTTAAAAACAGGCGTTTAGATACACGTCTTCTGCAGAATATGTGGAGTCAGATGACGCGAGTTTGATGCGAGGAACTGAGGCTTTCTGAAAGTGTGGAGCTTTTAACTGCATGGATATTGGATTTTATTAATTGGGGACGCTTTGTGAGTAGAGTTTAAAAAAACAAAAACATTTTACTTAAATGATGTGCACTATGATTTTTTTTTTTCAATTAATCGGACAAAAAAAAAAATCTTATTTAAAATAAAATGCATAGATGGAGTTTTACAAACGTAAAGTTTACTTTAGAATAAAATTGTGTGCACATTTTTTGCACTCGCACCACCGTGAGGAGGTGTGTTTGGGGTGCCATTGCAAGTAATGGCACTACAACGCACATCCCGGAGGGGAATTTTCAGGACAAAACCAAAAATGACCCTTTATTATATAATATGTGTGTGTGTATAATAAAATAATAGTGTGTGTGTGTGTCACTCCGGCGCAAGCGGTGAAACCTTGCATGTGTAGCGCGATTGCCGCTTTTCTGTTTAATATTTTTTGGGGGGCGGATATTTTAATTTAATATAATTTTTTTATATTTAAAAAAAATATATTTTTTTAACTTGCTATCACATGGGGGGGGGGGGGGCCTCACAAGCCCCCTATGTGATAGCACATTGGAGGTGACAGGTTCTCTTTTAAGGTGGGATTAGGGGTCTTTTAGACCCCTAGTGACACTTTTCCACTTTACTGGGTAATGAAAGCTGCCTGCTGAGGCAGCTGAATGTCAACATAGCAGGCAGTGGCCGTGAGCAAGAGCCAGCCTGGTATTGGCCAATTTAAATTGCAATAGCCAGTAGCAGGCTGTGATGTACATCACTTAGCTCCCCAATGCAAAATTGTGTGTTTTTATTAATTTTACATTTTATTTGCCATGGAATTGCACAATCAACCTGAGGCATCCAGGCCAGCATGCAAGCTAATCATTAACCCGTTTCCGCGATCCATATAGATATGTCAGCATGGCCACATATATATGTACAGCCTATGTTCGGTGCTGGTAGTGCAGTCACTGATGACGCCTGCTTACTGTTTGATTGGGGGCCAGTAGGATGGGCTCTCGATCACATGGCTGCTGTGACAGTCAATTACAGTGATCGCATAGTTGGGAGCCCGCCTACTGGCCTCTGGCGTAAACTTCTTAAAGGGCCAGTGGGGTAAGAGGTTAAAGAGTCTAAAAATTTTTTAGAGATCATGGTTTCTAGAACTGAGCTCAATTCTGAATATTTTTGTTTTGTCTTTTAGGTGTTTTAGATTTTTGTTTTTCACTATATGAATTAGAGTTAACCAATAAAATACATATACTTGTTAATAGTATATGTGGCAACTGTTTAATAGCTAATGCTATTTTAAGTACATACCACTAGAAATGATATGTAAAAACCATTTTGTAAGGGTGATGGTTATAAAGAATGTGCAGTGAATTAGTATTAAGAGTAACCAGGCTTTACTGCATACTTTTATTTTACATGTTTTGTTTTTTTTTGCTTTACGGTCCCTTTTCATGTAAAACGTTAGACAATTTTTAACACCCTGAAATTTACTTCTCATATCCTTAAACTGCCCTGCATCTATAAGATTGCATACCCCTGTTTTCTGTACTGCCGATGGTAAGGATTGCATTTGTTCAGTAGCAGTGGAAAGAAAGCAGATTCAGCTAAAGCTATTGACCTGGTCTTTTGTGCTTTATGCCTTGCTGCCTTAATTAAAGTATATTCTGCAGTGACTAGTATGGGTAGCTGGCAGAGAGATCCTTTTTATCTCATTTTAACTGAGCATTAATTCTAAATTTTGGGGTAGGGTACAAGTTGGGGAAAATTTTAAATTTAATGGTTTGTTGGAGGTATTCTGTAAGTTTTTTTATGAATGGCTTTAGTGCTTTGAAAATTGCAGATCCAAATTACTTAAAGCGTTTGGTTTATTAACACTTTTTTTGTTGTTGTAGTGAAGACGATATTCTGAAAGAGTTGGAAGAACTGTCTTTGGAAACCCAAGGAGGGAAATCCAATAAAGATTCTGTACCTAAGGTATGTTATCTGTAAAACTAAATCTTAAAATTTTTATGTGTGTATATTAGTTGTTGAGACCACTTGCCTGCCTGCCAGCCAAGAGGGCCTAACTGTACAAGCCCGTCATTCTGCACATGTCTGCTTGGCAAAGTTTTCTTCATTTGTAACCAACAAAATGGTAGCCACCAAATCTATTATTGAGGATAATGGAAACGAGCCACAAGCGATACAGTTGGCCAGATCAGCCGTCATGTGTACAATTCATTCAGCTTTAGTTATCAGTGGGGATAGTTTGTCTCCTCTGGTCATTAGGCAAAAAAGTCTTAGATAATATATCTGGCCTACAAGGGCTATGCAGGTGAATTGGTTGTGTGACTACCTGATAGTAAAGACCAGTGTGTGTTGTTTTTTTTTTTTTTTTATGGAAATATACATATTTTACACTGGTGGCCAGAGCATATTCAACTGTTGGCATGAAGGTCTACTATGTTTAAACCCTTCTCCAACAACAAACTTGACAAGAAAATAATTATATGAGGAGGACAGAAATGTCCTTTCCTTATTAAGTGTGAAGTGTCATTTATACGAGACTCTTGGGAAAATACATGCGTATGAGTTTATTTTTCAAAGATTTCATTCTACATACTTTAATTGAAATTGCATGCCGGTGCCCACTCATGAATCCCCCTCCTCAATGAATGCAGACCCCCACAATTATTAGGATGACCTGCATCAACAAATAATCTGTGTTGGTGTACACGTATGAGAGCTATTTTAGCCACATTGGTGGGAATATTGATGATGATGATGATGATGATGATGATCTCTTCATGATGCTGCATGGAGAGCTCCAAACCAGGAGGGAATTTTATGTTCAGAGTGTAAAGGTTCGGCGGAGATAAATTGGTTGGTTTGGATTTTTGTAGCTGTTTTTTTAACAATTTAAAGTGAATGTGTTGCTAATATCAAGAAATCCATACGAGTTACCTGCAAAGAAGATGGTAAATACCTACCGCCTGTGCCTCTGAATGCTGCTGTAGTACAGAGAAATTGCTGGAGTCTCTTCAGAAACTAACACTTCCTGTGTGATCACCTGTTCCCCCACTGCACTCAATGATTCTTCCGGCCAATGAAACAAAGGTCTGCAGGAGGCCCAACTTTTTTTGAAGAGACTTCAGAGGACAATTTATTTGCATTACAGCTGTATTCAGTGACACGGGCTGCTGGAGATAAGTATTTGCTATCTTCTTTGCAGGGAACTCTTCATTTGTATCAACAGTCTCCTGAAATATGTTTGTAATGTGCACCGATTTGCTCATTTTTTTTCTAGCAGGCAGAAACTGAAGATCCTGACGCTTTTGACCCAAAGCAGGACAAGAAAAAGAAAAGCCACAAAGCTAAGAAAGCCAGTGTTGATGATGATGACGATAGTGATGAAATGGAAAGCAGAAATACAAAGCCCAGAAAACCGGAAAAACCCCAAAATCTGTCAGATAGTGATGATGATGATAACGATGATAACTTTAATAAGAGGTCTAAGAAAGGCAAGGGCAAAAGCGAGGCCACCAATAAAAAAGGCCGCATTACAGAAGAAGCTAAGGATCAGGATAAGGAAGAAGCAGACATCCCTGGGGATAGTGATGAAGATTCCGATGAGTTCAGTTATGGGAAGAAAGGCAAAAAGAAAGAACAGAAGCCTAAGCCTGCCCCTAAAGTAGAAAGTGAGGAGGATGAAGGGGAGTTCAAAATGAAGACAGCAGCTCAAAAGAAGGCTGAAAAGAAGGAACGTGAGCGCAAGAAAAAAGAGGAGGATAAGGCCAAATTGAGGAAACAAAAGGAGAAAGAGGAGATTGAGGGTGTTAAAGAACCTGCGAAGGCTGAAGTTCCTGAAAAAAAGCCAGAAGATGTGGCAGCTCCCCAAAAAGACAACAAAGCTGTAGTTGAAGTAGAGGCTGCAGCGGCCGCTGACATGGATGAAGGTAAGGGTGTTTTCAGTAAAAATGCATGCTGTGCATATGTGCTAGATATATACTGCAACATTGTAATATTTCTCCTTTTCCTTTGAGTTTCAGATAGGCTTAATATAACCCTAAAGCAATGTATTTGCCATGTGTTTTTCAGATGATGATGGTGATAAAAAGAAAAAAGACAAAAAGAAGAAAAAGGGTGAGAAGGAAGAGAAACCGAAAGATAAGAAAAAGAAGGGTCCTAGTTTAGCCACTGTGAAGGTCATGCAGGAAGCTCTGGCTAAACTGAAGGAAGAAGAGGAGAGGCTCAAGAGAGAAGAGGATGAGAGACTTAAAAGGCTAGAAGAGATGGAAGCCAAGCGCCTTGAAGAGGTACTCTACCTACTCATTTTGCTAGGACGAAAAAGCCTTTATTGTGGCTCCCCATTACTAGCTGTTTGCTAAGTCTTATCTTCCTGGATCATTCACAAGTTGTCCACATTCGGTTTCTGTAAATAAGCCTTTACTTTCTGTTGTATGTGCTGGCAGCCAATAGAGGGCGAAAAGCATATTTTTTTCAGTTTGTATTACATACTTAGCTTAATTTTTTTTAAAAATGTTACCACGTTTTTTTAACTATTAGGGGCCACCAAGTCTCCTTTTATGTTACTAGACACTTTATATAGAAGCACATAGGTTCTGTCTTCTGTCAATAGTAACTAATGTTTTCAAGGATTTAATTCTTTGAGTCGTCTACCAGCAATGTATCTTGAGCTTCAAGACATGAATGATGGTCTGCTTTAAGAGTCACCACACATATAAAAATGTAACTATACAATCCGCTTTAGATTTACCAAAGCTATGAAATATGAGGACTGCCTAGTCTAATCAATCAGTCAGGCCCTTGCACTACACCTTGCCTGTTTGGTAATGCAAAGTGCAGTAACTCATAATGTCAGCATGGTTTTTTCTGCTGTTAAGCGGATAAAGGTGAAATCTTGTTGCTATGTCTTACTGCACTAAGCACTGCCATACAGTGAGAAATCTAGTTTACTGATTCCCTGTCTGTCTTTGTTAGGAACGACTGGAGCAAGAAAGGAAAGAAAAGAAGAAACAAAAAGAAAAGGAAAGAAAAGAACGTTTAAAAAAGGAAGGGAAGTTGCTGACAAAAACGCAGAAGGAGGCCCGGGCGCGAGCTGTGGCTACTTTGAATTTCCTTCAAGCACAGGGTGAGTGTAATTACCTTGTGGAATTCTATCAAATCAAAGGCTTAGAACTTGGCAACCTCTTTTGTTCTTGTTTCCATTTGGAGGATTTTCAATCACATCCTGTGTGGCCAATGAGATTTTGTATTTATTCACATATTCCCTGTTCCCTGCATTTGTTATGACGAATATATGCATCTCCTGTTCCCTAAATCCTTTGTTTCTTCACAGCTGGATTCTATAGCGATTGAGTTGTTACTTTTACACTTTCACTTTTTAACAGGTGTTGAAGTGCCATCTAAGGACGGTCTGCCAAGGAAGAAGCCTGTGTATGAAGACAAAAAGAAAAAGAAGCCACAGCAGCAGACACCGACTAAAGAAGGTTTATCCTTCGGTTCAATTTTTGTGTTAGTGCACATATAGACTGTAGGCGGCTGTAGTCTGTGTCAAAACATACTAGCTCACCTTCTGCAACCTACACATAAAAATAGGATGCCTGTTTATGCGGCATTCACTGTTGGCTTACACTGACCAGTTCCTGCCACTCTGTTGTCCTAACATCTTGTAGAAGAGTCAATTGTCCGTGGTGAATGCCTGTTTATGTTGACCTTGGATTCATCTAAGACAACATCGACCATGAAGAAAATAAGGAAAAAAGCCTCTGATTAAGAGGGCCCTGTGCGTGGAGGGATAGACACTAATAGTAGCCATTAGGGATACACCGATACCGGTATTTTGGTATCGAGTACCGATATTTATTTATTTTTTGGTACTGGCCGATACCAAATACCGATACCGGAAGTCCCATTAAGGAAGCCAGGCGGTGTGTAACGACTCGCCACCTGGCTTTCTGATTAGCCGGGAAGCCGGGCGGGGTGTAAAGACTCGCCACCCGACTTCCCGATTAGAAGGGGAGCCATCCCCATGCTTCTCGTCACTAGGTGACGAGAAAGCATGGAGCCGGCTTTCTGGCCAATCAGGAAGCCGGGTGCCGTGTAATGACGCGGCACCCGGCTTCCTGATTTGACGGGAAGCCGGCTCCATGCTCCCTCCTCATGAGGTGACAAGGGAACATGAAGCCAGCTTCCCGGCCAATCAGAAAGCAGGGCGCCTGGCTTCCTGATTGGCCCGATTCCCGACCAATCGGGAAGCCGGGCAGCGAGTCATTACACGCTGCCCGGCTTCCTGATTGGCCGGGAAGTCAGCTCCATGCTCCCTCGTCACAGGTGACGAGGGAGCATGGAGCCAGCCAATTGGAAAGCCGGACAGCATGTAATAACTCGCTGCCCTGTTTCCCGTATACCGAAAGTATCGGGCTAGGCATCGGAGCATTTGGGCGAGTTCAAGTACTCGCCCAAATACTCGGCACCAATACTAGTATCAGTATCGGTGCATCCCTAGTAGCCATATATCTATACAAGTGATGAAACTGATGTGCTTCATAATGGCAATATGTTTAGCAGAGGAGCATCAAAAACCACACTTGGTTGTCATGATGTTCTTCTAGCACTTTTTCTACATAGGCATTTTACATTTTTAGTTTGGTTTATTTTTTAGTTATTTAGTGAAAGAGCAATTGACCGATTCGTTTTTAGCTCGGATACTACTCAAATATACTTAAATGTGAATACAATTTGTTTTCACTTCAGTAGTACACTTCCTTTTTAAATAATGAGTAAGATTGGAATGAAAATGTTAATCTGTCCTTATTCCATTCAGAGCCAATAGAGGTGAGCTCTCCAGTAGAAGAAGTTGCCGTTGCTCCGTTGCCAGAGAAAGAGGAAACCCTGCTGCCAGCAGAGCCTGTTGGTAAGTATGCTATAATTCTGCCTGGAATTTTAAAAGCAATCCAATCGGGTCCTCCAAAACGGAACTCTGTTCAGTTTTCTTTTTTGGATTTAGATGGAGTATGGTGTAATCAGATGTAGACGGACACACTATCGTTTCCATCTGGCTGTCCATAGAGTTACACTGGGCTTCCGATCACATCCGCCTGAAACCCTGATAGGCGTATCTGATCAGACCACCTTCGTGAAAGGAGCCTAACAGGAATTGCCTAAGCTTTGCTTGTCAGAATGGCCTGACATTCAGCTTTAAAGTAGAGTCTTCGAGTGTGTTGAAGGTATAAGCAAGCTCTTCTATGTGATTGCAAGTAAAAGTCTTGGCAATGAAGATCATTAGCACTCAAAGGATAAGATAAATTCAAGTGTTCTTTTATTCAAAGAAGCATGTCACGCGTGTTAAATAGCCAATGTTTCAGAACCACGCCGGGTCCCTTGTATCAGGTCAAGCATAGTGACATAGGCCGGCGCCATACGTGGACATCACTACAAGCATCATTATCTTAAAAACTAGTCTCCATTGCTGTATGGTGTGGAAGGGGATATCTTTGTTTATTAATTGCAAGTTAAAGTCCTCGCTTGTCTCCAATACAATATAGCAGCCAGCATAAATGGATGGATATACAGTCGAAGAGATCAACAGTAATGAAAAATGCAGTGCTTGAAATGTCAATAATATCCTCTGCTTTAAAGTGTAAACATCAATCCTCATCAGATTGAATCTATGCAGACAACCAGGACACTCACCAGATCCACTGACCCCACAGATCAACACAGGTCTCGCTTAGTGATGATTATCCTCACCTGTGTCTCCCCGTGGACAATGGTGGATACACTCCCAACAGTAGCTCCCAGTTGTCTGCAAAGCCCTGCACTCACTACAGATAAGGACAATTGATTTATGATCTCTCTTTCCTTCCACACTTTGGATTAGTAACTTCCTTCTGGCTGTTTGTCACATCCAAGCTGTGTGCAATAAAACACTTCACCAAACTAAGCCGCCATCCAGCTGACACACAATGTGCGTTCAAAACTCTGGTCATCCAAAAAACATGTAAGGGAAGGCAATGAGAGCACTCAATAGTGCAGAGGATCACTCATAACATTTATTAAAAAGATAAAAACAAAATAAAACATACATAAGTATTTCAATAACAAGAAAAAAATCTATGCGGCTAAGAAAGTGCACATACTCAGCCCAAACCGTTTGCTCTAATTTCCACCCAACATGTTTAGTTCCAAAGAACGTCCTCGGGATATTAGATCAAATGGTTGGTGTTATAACTCATCACATGTGCAGCACCATGGCAGCTGCAAGCCAAATAGAGGCACCTTCCTTGGCTGTAAAGGATAGGAGGTTGTAGTTCTGCTTTAACGGAAAAAGTGTCCTTCATTTTGATTGGCTGCCCACACACCACAATGGACCTTTTAATACACCAGTCCCTGTTTGATTTTTTACAGTGCATCACAATCTGTGGTGTGCCGCATGTAGATGTGTCGGGATGCCATTCAAATGAATGGCACTGCATAGCTGTTCATAAGTTACAGTATGTTGCGGTAAAATATTCATTTTCCTGGGGTTTTTTTGCAATGCAAAGGTGTGAATCTGGCTTTAAAGGGGTTTTGTTTTGTTTTTTTACATACAGTAGGGATGCACCGACAATTACGCTGAAAATGGTGCTATGGGCAAAATGCAGACAGTACCAAAACGACCGAAAATTTAGCTAAAAATTCAGAGCACCCCTAGTTTCCCTCCTCCTTGCTGGGCACCGGTCTGTGTCCCCTCCGATGCCTGCTGCTCCCCCCTGCCTGTGTCGGTAGAGGCAGCGGGGATCGGATGGGACACAGACCGGCGCCCAGCGGGAAAGAGAGAAACTTGTCAGGAGGTTGTGTAGGGAAGACAAAGCTGTCACAGGAGGCCGATCTCTTTTCCAGCACCATCCCGCTTTGCTCCTCCTGTGACAGGAGGAGCAGTCAGGCTGGAGAGCGGAGTACAAACATTCAACAATCGGAAGTGATCGCTAAGTGTTTGTAAATAACTGAGGACATGGTATGTTTACTGTGTCCCCAATTATGACTACATCACTTCCTGTTCATTCATGATTGTGGACATAGTGACTCATACTATATCCACAGTTAATGAATGGACAGGAGCACTCAATATAGAGGATACCTGTTCATTTATAACCAGGGGCAGCAGAAAAAGAGATTAAGGACTCTGGGTCCTCAATCTTTTTCTATTTTAAAAGGGAAATATCAGGGGTCTGTTTAGTCCCCTGATTATTCCCCAAAGCCCCCGACAGTAAAGTACGTAAAATAATGAAAAACATAATTTAAAACATTTTAAAAAGGCTGGAAAATAAGTCCTTTTCAATTTCATCCTGACAATTTTTTTTTACATTTTGTTTTCGGTCTAAACATTTAATTTCAGTGCATCCCTATTATACAGTATACTTATATGTTATTTTTTAAAAGTGATCTATAAAATGTTGGATGTGTGCAAGTAAAGAGTAATACAATATGTTATTTCTGGTTACATCTGAACTATTTTTCACAAACCTTCCAGAGACATTTTGTACGGATGACATAAATCAGGATAGTGACACAGATAAAGAAGGTACCGAGTTGCAGGCTATTGCATGTTTTTTGCTAAGGTTTGGAAAAGGTTTGCTGTAAGCTTTGCTTGCATTATGAGTTCTTAGCCTTTGACTGCAGTTTAGATGTCTTGTAGTGCTTTAGTACGTGGGTTGCAGTGTGTTCTAATATGTAGGCTTGCATCTTGGATTCATTTGATGCCGTTTAGTCATTTTGTGTGAAGCTTATAGAATGTGACTTTTATATGCTGATTAGAAATGAGTTGGACCTTTTTTTTCAGGCATTTAACTCTTGCCTTGCTAGATATAACATTTTTTATGAAATTGGGCAAATGTTTAAAAAATGTGCATTATATAAAACCAACATTTGGATAATTTAAATACTAGTGGCTACTGCAGTTTCATTTGTATGGGTCATTACATTTCTTTTTCAGAATTCGCACACATACAGCTCTTTTCTTTACTGTAATCTCAAATTTTGTTCTACTAAAACTATATTACCTTATAAATGGTTATATAGTCTATAGTGGTTCAGCAACATTGTTGCATTGACTGAAAAAGTGCCATTTAATGCCCACTCTTCTAAAGACACTAAGGGCCGGTCACACTATAAGAATGTGCAAATGTGTGGTATCCATTTTTGTTAGTGCATGCCATCGCACAGCACAAAGGAACCACACTCTATGTGTGTGTCAGTGCTTTGCCATTCATTTTGAATGGCACCCCAATGCACCTCCTGGCGCAATGCCGCAATAGCGTGCATGCATTGTGGTGCCATGCAGTGAGAAAGTAGTGCATGCATTTCACAGCATGGCATCACAATGCACGCTATTGCAATACTGTGCGTTGCAGCACACGTCCTCTTGAAGGTGTGTTGTGGTGCAATTGCAATTCAGAATTGCAAATCAGCGCACCTAACAAGCAGTGCAACAGCGTGCACTTAGTGCTCAGATACTGTGCCTTTACTGCAACACTAAAGTGTGAACTGGCCCTAAATCTGTTTTTATGCCTGGAAAGACTGCAATTGTGTGTGATTTGATTTTAGTTATACTGAGACTTAAAGGGTTAGTAAACCCTCCTTTTTTTTGCATACATCTATTGCTAGCAAACGGTATATATATGCAAAAAGTGTTTTGAAAAGGGTTAATACTTACCTGTGTCCTTTCCCGCACGCTCCTGTCTGAAAATGTAAAAATTCTCGGGCAGCCGCAAAGCATCTCGGGGCGGACGCACACACAGTTCACATTTTCGCCCGGGACCCGAGGAGAGACACAAGGTAAGTCTATGGACGCGTGCACCCGCATGCAGACACCGTGGGAAAGGAAGTGCCAACAAGGACAGAGGAGTCGGCGCTGGATCGGAGACCTGCAGCAGCACTGGAGGGACAGATGAAAAGGACAGGAAAGAAGAGGAAGATCCGATTAAGGGACATCATTTAAGGTAAGTGCTTTAATTAACATTGGGGGAAGGAAAACATTTTTTGACTTTTAATGTCACTTAAGTCTTTTATTTGGACAATTATGAACATCATTTTATAAGAGTCCATTAATCTTCAGTCCATTGTGCTGTCTTAATAGGAATAGGCTTATATTTTACTCATTTAAAGGGAACGTTTTTAGAAGTGAACCTGTCAGAATTAAAACACGTGAACTGCCATAGATGACTTTTAAAAACCAGTAACTGCATTGGCGTGTATCCACTGCTGGTGATATAATGATATATTGGCTCAGTTTACACTAAAGCAGAGGTAGACTAATTTAGGCCCTCTAGCTGTGGTGAAACTACAAATCCCCTCATGCAATTGCCTTTGGGAGTCATGCCTGTTGCAGTGTTAATTTAGTTGGCTAAAACATTTCCCCACAGTTTTCATCAGCTGCATGTGTTCAGTGACGAGAACTAAATAAAAACTTAGTTAATTGGACTAAAACTATGAGGAAAATACATGGCAATTTTGTCTACTGGAGAATGTCGACAAAACGAAATTAAAACGATTCAGATGACTAATATTCCACTAAAACTAAAATGCCATTTTAAAACATGCAGCTGATGATGATGAAAAGCTGAGGAAAAGTTTTAGTTGACTAAATTAACACTAGCCTGTTGCTGTCAATCTTGCAATGCCTTATGGGACTTGTAGTTTCATTTATTTATAGACGCAAGCATGATGAGAAATGTTTGCCCTTTACAGTTACCCATTTCTAGATAAAAAAAAAGGTGAAATCGGTGTTCATATATACCAGCTGCCAGTTGGGGAACTGTGTCTTATTTTACTGTTCTCACACCTAAGATGTAGTGCAAAAAAGTTACAGGCCCCCTACTTTCTATCTATATACCATCTATTGTTTTTTTATTTGTACCCTGCTAGGAGGTAGGATGGTAGCTTATTTCTACACCTCAGGACTTGTATAGCTTGTCTATTGATACAGAATGATTTTAAAAAAATTGATATTTAACACCGCGTTAATAACACCCCCTCCCTCAGTCAGCGCTGGAGGATCGGAGAGGGGAGGGGGGAATCCCTGCAGGGAGCCCTGAGTGACAGTCACGGCTCTCTGCAGGGACATGATCGAGAAGTGAGCGAGCGGCGGTATGTGTCGCCTCACTTCCCGATCTATTGAGCCGGCGTGTGACAGTTTCATTGTCACACGTCGGCTCGAACTATGAGGATGGGTGAAAATCACTCACCTCATAGTTCTCCTTTTTAATATCAGCAGGTGATTTAAAAGTAGAAAGGGAGTGGTTGAATTCTAATTATGTGTGTGTGTGTGTGTGTTCTTCAAATGCTTGTTTAGTTGAAACAAAATAAGGTTTTGATTATATTTCTAATTTGATTATGTCTCCCAAACTCTTAGAAGCAGAGGAGGATGCTGGTGTGGATGACTGGGAAGCCAGAGTCAGTGATGAAGAAAAAGAGAAAGGTCTGTATTTGCCTACAATAACATTATGATGTTCGACATTCAACTTTGTTTTTTTTTGTGCTGATATTTGTTTCAGTAACACTGGTTATGCAAAATCATAAAATAATTATTGTTAAAAAGGTTTGGTCCAAAATCTAAAGTCTGATGATGTGTGTGGGAAAACTGGTTTAGCCAGTAGAAGTGCAGAAGGTGAGCCTGAAACAGCGAACCTTTTAACACTTAGAAAAACACATTCAGTAGGTCTCTGCAATACATGCACTTATAAGCCATGTTTTCATTTTTAAAACATGTGGCAAGTACAAATTCCTGTTGATACTCCTAGACATTTCGTTTACTTCTGTCTTTCTGTTTGGGCTGACAACAGGATGCCATTTCTGCACAAAAATCCCAACCAGCTCTGCCTGCTGAATTACAGAACTTCATGCATTTGCCACCCCTCTCTGGCCCACTGCACATGCATGTATTGATTTCTTTCCCCAGCTAAACAGTGCTACTGCCATTACTGTTAGGAGCCTGCCCACACACTGTATAGAAAAAGGGCTCTTTGGAGAAGTAGTTCTAGGGGCTTGCTTACTTCAATAGGAACTGACCTCCCAGTAGATACCTCTGCAAGAATTTTACAAGATTATATCAATGGGAGTATTAAAAAGTTTTCTCTCTGAAGGAACAAAGTAAAAAGAAAAAAATAATGCGGGGGCATGCGCTAGAGGGGGAGAGAGAGGTTTGGGGTAAATTTAAATAATGTCGAGGCATAATTTTAAGGTGGTGAACAATGGCAGACTGGAACATCTGTCTAACCGATTAGCAACAACTTGACCAGAACAAAGATCACATTACATAAAATGTGCAGATCTCTGTCATACCGGTTCTTTCTGTTATGCTCTTCAGACACAAAGACAGTCCACATAGAAGTCCAGGAGAAAAATGAAGAGGAAGAAGACGATGAAGAGGATGAAGATGAGGAGGATGAGGCAGAAAGTGACGAGGATGAGGAGGAAGAGGACGAAGGGGAGAGTAGTGAGGAGGAGAAGTCTTCAGATGAAAAGCCAGCAGATCCTCAGCCCGTGGCTTCCAAAGCAGCAGAGAAAAAGCCAGTGAAAGAACAGAGTTCAGATTCAGAGTCTGAATCTGATGATGATCGTACCAAAGAAGAGAAGGCGTATGATAAAGCCAAGAAGAGAATTGAGGTGCTTATATATTTTTCTAATTAAATCTCTCTCTCCTCTCTCTCTTTCCTCTCTCTCTCCTCTCTCTTTCCTCCCTACATATATTTTGAATTATCGTTATGCTTATTGTGAAGCTGTGTGGATACACATATAGGAGCGACCGTTGCTGCCTTTTTTTATTTAAAGTGCTGGCATTGACATCTATGCTTCATTGTCTAGTTAGTCACTGACCAGACTTTTCAGACTTTATTGGCTGTGTGCTTGTTCCAAGTTAATGACTCACTTGATAGGATTAGGATGGCAGCGCCAGTATAAATATACACCTTGAAAAACAGTTAAGCAATGGCAGCTCTATATTTCTGTTCCCCAGGTTCTCTGTAAGGCTGTCCAAGTTTTGCATGGTACAGACTACAAAATTCACACACATAACCTCTAAAGTCCTCCACTGGAACTGTTGTGCATATCACTATGAAAACCAAGTGGCTGTGTGTGTTTTTAAGTAATATATTATAATATAATAAATGTACAGTGCTGTGATATACATTACCTTGGTCCTATAGTTGGGGTATTTCCAGTCAGTACACAAGTTTTATTCCTTTTCATATGATTAACATTAGAGCTGCAGCTAACGATTATTTTCAAAATCGATTAGTTAGCCAAACATAGACCACCAAGAGTTCTTGTATTCAGTAAACCTTAGAGGAAGTGTAGAGCTCAATCGCTGTGCTGCCTTACTAGACAATGTGCTGGCTATGCTTATAGGAAATTGTTATGGCTGGTCACATGTACTTATAAAATTGTAAACCAGCTTAAATTTCCTAAGCTATTTAAAAAAAAAACCCCAAACATGTGAAGCTCACCATACATGCTACAACCTGACCGTACAATCTCTGTAAAATCTACTCTAGATATACCAAAGCTATGTAATATGAGTACCTACCTAAACTGTCCACTCCATTTGTATCCAGGCAGGCCCTTGCACTACATAACTGTTTGGAAATCTAAGGGGTGTGTGCTGTCCTACACTTGTACTGGCGGCCCCACAGGCTCACGGCTCTCCTAGCCTCACCAGTTCTCCCCAGCCTCCCTGGCTGTCTTCGTGTGCCTCCCAGCACACACACCACCTGACTCCACTTTAAATTCTGGGGGAGTCCTCCTGAACAATGTCCGTTCCTATCCCAGTAGGAGCTCACCTGACTCCTCTGACTTTGGGGGAGTCCTCCTGACCCCCCTCTATTCCTATCTCCCAGCAGGAGCTAATTCCCCTAGCCAGCATCCTTTCCTTAAGGGATGTGCACACCTGTGCAATCATCGGGTGCTGGTCACTACTAAAGCCTGGACCCATGACTGGAGATCTCATCCCTCCTGAATCACTTAGCAATCTCCCAATTTCAGAATCCCAGACAAAGCCTTGCTTCCTGACACCTCTGAGCCCCTCTGGCTGAGAGTCCTGGGTGATCATAACACCCAATTCTACAGTGGGATTGCCCCACAATACCAATCTGTACACTCATATTTTGATATCTACATAAGGTGCTTTGTGATGTGGTTTTAAATGCCATTACTAAAATGCTGAAGTCATTCTAGGCATAGGTGTGAAACAGAACCTTGGATGTATTTGGCCAGTCCAGATGTTCTTAGAAGTGTTTAGCTCAATGAAACTTGGATATGTGATGCATCACATTGTTTATTTTTTATTTTTTTAGAAACGACGTATTGAAAACCTGAGAACTGTAAATGTGCAAATTCTGCGCTCACCAGTCATATGTGTGCTTGGCCACGTAGACACTGGAAAGACCAAAATCCTAGACAAGGTATGCTTATTGCTGTATTTCTGTATTCAGAGTTTAATTAAAACCATTCTGAAAGTGACATATTTGCCATTTCTGGTTTGCCGTTAAAGTACATCTAAACACAAAAACAGAAACATGTTGTTAAATGTGCTGGCTGCATTCATTCTATTTTTTTTTTTAGGCTTTTTTCTTTTTACCTTGTGATCCTGCCGGTACTACCCTCCCTGTCCTAGAGTGACAACGCTCACTCATCGTATTGTATCTTATTCAGTAGCTATTTTGTCACCCTTGGCTGCTCTCCAGATTTGGACTACAAATGCTTCCCGCCATCATGTTTTCTGGTTCACAGAACTGGGAAGACAGATAACATGGTTTGAGATATTAGTTCAATACACAAGAAGTTATAAAGACAATGGATTTCTGGCAGGATCTACAGGCAACTTTCTCTATTTGGCATAAAAAAAAATAATGCAGCCACAATATCTAAGGACAGGTAAGCGGCCATATATAAAATGCTTGTTCTTGGGTTTAGATGTACTTACAATTTGTGCCATTGACTTTTACTGGTGCTTGACAAGATTAGGTTCACAGAGTTCTACTTTAAGAAGCTGTCACAGCTGGTGGTTCCTCCTCGATTTGTTCCCTTGCAGCAATTCCGGTAAAGTCACTATTAACTTTTTAAAATCTGCTTTAGAAAGGTCGTCCTGCAAAGTAAAGAGTTAATACTTTCCTTTCCTGCACCACTGACATGCAATATCCAATGGCTGAAATATTATTAGCATCCAGTGCACTTTTAGGTGTGGCAGATACCTGGTCCCCCGCTGAACGCTATGATTCCTTCTTCTGGCCCATACTTCCTTGTCCTGTACTGATGTATGGTGTGGTGGAAGAGGGTGGGTTGTGCAGAGGGGGCATCCAACTGCAGGTGTTCAGTGCTGAAGATTGTTTAGCCAGCGGGGCTCCTACATTCAGTGGGTGTTGGCAGCGGGAAGGGTAAGTATTAACCTGTAGTGGGAGAGAGAGGAAAAAAGTGACACTCCCTTTGCCTGCCCCCTTTGATTTGTGTTATCCTCCTTTATACTTTGATATATAGCACATTAAATGCAAGTTTGTTTTTAAATTTTTTTTTCCATTTTCTTTCAAAAGCTGCGTCATACTCATGTACAAGATGGTGAAGCTGGTGGAATCACTCAGCAAATCGGAGCAACAAATGTCCCTCTGGACGCTTTAAAAGAGCAGACTAAAATGGCTAAAAATGTAAGTATCGCTGCAAGACACAGATTAGTTAGTGGTTGCGTTCTTGTTCTGGGAAGCTGACGCTAGTTTTGTGGCAATCTTTTTAGAGACATTCAAGGTACAGACCTCTTGAGTGAATGATAGTGATTGGTCAACCATCCTGAACTTTCAGTACACAGAGACATAAGACTCCATGCTACTGAAGCTATGTAGCATCAGGAGACATGTCAAGAATTTGCTGCTCCTCTTCCTGGGTTTTTTTTTTTAACCTTTTAATGCATTCTTTGAATTTGGGCAAAAAACAACGAGTACTTTGTTCAAACCCCGTCCCCCCCCGCAGCTGCTTGTATCCTCTGCCAGAAGTGTATAAGATACCAATACGGGAAGATACCGCCGAACTTCCTGGTTGTGGGGGAGGGTACTGAGGGCAGAGGAGCCATAGGCTCCTTCTGCCGCTAGTAAAACTGTGACTGCCGGGTGGGGACGTAACCAGCTAGCTGATGGAGGCACCCGAACGGGGGGTGGGGCTGGCGGTTTGGATACCACTAGAAAACGAGGAAATAAAAGAATAAAAAAAGTTTTTTAACCACTTGCTGACCGGGGGTGTTTATACCCCCTTCCTGACCAGGCCATTTTTCAGTATTCAGCGCTGCGGTACTTTGACATTTATTCCGTCATGCAACGCTGTACTGAAATGAATTTTATACAATTTTTTGGGGACAGATAGAGCTTTCTTTTGGTGGTATTAAATCACCACTACAGGTTTTTTTTTTTTACTGTATAATTAAAAAAAGTACCGAAAATTTTGAAAAAACAACCTGTTCTCCCTACGTTATGTTATAAAACATTTATTATTACCCAAGTTTTTGGTAAAATATAAAAGATCGGGTCACGTCGACTAAATAGACACCAAACATGTCAAGCTTTAAAATTGCGCGCACCCGTTAATTGCAAAAAACTACCATATTCAAAATTGACCATAGCCGACGCTTTAAAAGCTTTTACCGCTCATCAGTTTAGTGTTATCGGTGATTGATGACCCTAGACTTATTGCTCTCATTCCGACGTTCGCTGCGATATGTAACCTGTGCGGCGCAATGGATGTAATCAGTGTTTTCGCACGTAGGCGGGCTTGACGTGTGGGGGCGGGGACTTTAATCTTTTATTTTTTTTGTAACAAATTTTTTTTCACTGAACTTTATTGCTATCACATAGGGAGCAAGCAAGCTCCCTATGTGATAGCCAATTTGCAGTGACAGGTCCTCTTTATGGAGACATCACGGGTCTTAAGACCCCTAATGTCACCTAGGGACCCCCAGAGAAGCTGATGATGCAGAGACCTGCTTCACCAGCTTCTCTCCGGTTTCTGTACCGGAGAGTGACAGAGGAATGCAGGCAGTGATGTAATACACATCACTGCCTGCATTCAGAAGAGGAGAGGAGATCAAACGGAGATCGTTTACTGAGCTCCGTTTGATCTCCGGCCGCAGAGCTGCTGTGCTGGTCCCGGGCTCACACTGGGATTGCCAGCACACCCGACCGGATATTACAAACGATCGGGCGTCTCTACAGACGCCCGAACGCTTGTATGTAAACAGCCATCGCTGGCTGTTTACATTCAAAGCCGGTTTCTCGCTCGTGCGCGCCGCCTAGCGGCGGGCACGAGCTGAACGGGATAGGACGTCTAAAGACGCCCACCCGCCCTCAAGAAGCCGCTGTCCGGCCGTTTAATTACAACGGCCGGACAGCAGGTAGTTAAAGTAAGTCTGGCCCCCAAAAATAGAAACCGCAAAAACGAAGGTTTAATGTCACTTTAAAGTTTTTGTGACTGTCTAATATCAAAGTGGCTAACAACATCTAGAGATTGGAGATGGCTAGTAGCAGAGGAGCGGTTAATGATATGAATGTGTTTATGTGATATATAGTGTTGTTTATTAGCAGCCTGTTCATAGTTGTTGGTATTTAATTCAGTTTGACAGGGAGAACATGAAGATCCCAGGAATGCTGATCATTGACACTCCCGGTCACGAGTCTTTCAGGTATTTCTTAATATACTCATATGCAGCCATTAAACAAAAAACATGTAGTTAAGTATGTTCTTGTAATCATGGCTTTGATGCTGCTTTTTTATTTTGGACTTGTCTGTTGGCTGGGTTTAAAGCAAGCCTTTACTTTGCCCAAGTAGAGAAAAGCAACATGTTTAGTTGACTGCTGTCCCCTTTGGGTTTGTAACACTTTTACTTACCTTCTCCTTACCACTTCACCATTCTGTTCACTCACGGGAGTAAAGAGTAGAAGCCCGGTTTAAGCTTCAAGTCACCCTGGTTAAAGATTACAAAGGATTAAAGGAGAACAATGAGGTGAGTGATTGATTTTCACTCAACCTCCTAGTTGGAGCAAACCTGTGACAATGAAACAGTCACACGTCGGCTCACTAGATCGGGAAGTGAGTGAACGCATACCGTCGCTCGCTCACTTCTCGATCATGTCCCTGCAGGGAGCTGTGAGTGAAACTCACGGCTCCCTGCATGGATTCTCCCCCTCCCTGCTCTGATCCTCCAGCGCTGACTGGTGGAATGGACGGGGGAGGGGCGGGTACAGCTGGCTCTGCATCTAGATAGGCAGACCCAGCTGTGACGGCTGTGGCGGGCTCAGTATACCGCGAGCTGTAGCTCGCAATATACTGAGCTTTGGGTCACGGGAGGACGCTAGTATATGTCCTCCCGTGACCTTTAGGAGAACTATGGGGAAAAAAAATTACCCCATAGTTCTCCTTTTTAAGAACTCTCTTTTCCTATGCCTACGTGACTGGTGCCTGATGATGTGGATGCCCAGGCACCCAGCACTAAATTGCAGGTGGAAGTCAGTGAGTCACTTGCCGTATGTATCTGGCAGTACCCAAAGTATTTCTCCATACTCCAGCAAGCAGAGTAGTGGAGGAGCAAACGAATAGGAAGTGTTAATAACTTGGGGAGGGTGAAGGGTCAGGTAAAACGAACCTGTGTGTTGGTCACGTAGGGTAAAGCAAGAGGTGGGAGTCCCTGCAGTCAAAGGTTCAATAAGTGTTGTATCCTCAGTGGTGTTTAGTTCCGTGGTGAGATGTTAAGCATGATTTTGCCTAGATGATAAATGACCATCCTGAATATATTTTTCTGATTTATGAATCCCTAGTAACCTCAGGAACCGCGGAAGCTCATTGTGTGACATTGCCATCCTTGTTGTGGATATAATGCATGGGCTGGAGCCACAGACTATTGAATCGTTAAATTTACTGAAGAATAAGAAGTGTCCTTTTATCGTGGCTTTGAACAAAGTAAGGAATATTCTGATTTTTATAGTGTGACCATATACTAAGTAATTAAAAACAAAATTGTAATTACTCTGCACTGTATTGATGCTTTGAATGCTCAGATTGACAGGTTATATGACTGGAAGAAGAGCCCTGAGACTGACGTCGCTGCAACACTAAAGAAACAAAAGAAAAACACGAAAGATGAGTTTGAAGAGCGTACCAAGGCCATCATTCTTGAATTTGCACAGCAGGTAACAACTTCTAGATCTAGCTATCTTGATTATAAGTTTTGATGTGTGGTGCTGCATATCTAGATGATAAATATATCCTCATATCTTATTGTGTTTTAATGAAGGGCTTGAATGCAGCTTTGTTTTATGAGAATAAAGACCCGCGCACATTTGTGTCTTTGGTTCCTACCTCTGCTCATAGTGGAGATGGTATGGGGAATCTGATCTGCCTTCTTGTGGAGCTCACACAGACCATGCTTAATAAGAGGCTGGCTCATTCAGAAGAGCTGAGAGCCCAAGTAATGGAGGTAAGGGGCTTTTGAAATTCGACCAATGTCCCTCACATTGCTTTTTGTCTTTGAATAATTTATACTCGTTTTTCTCCAGGTAAAAGCACTGCCAGGCATGGGTACAACCATTGATGTCATCCTTATCAATGGCCGACTAAGGGAAGGAGACACTATTATCGTTGCAGGTGTGGAGGGGCCAATTGTAACACAAATCCGTGGTCTTCTTCTGCCTCCTCCAATGAAAGAGTTGAGAGTAAAGGTAAAGTGTCTGAGATGTGTGCTTTGGTTAGTCTTAGGGTTTTCCTGTAATTGAGTGTATAATGCGATTGTGTTGTATTGTATGTGTTGTAAAATATACGAAAATGGAGAATAGAGCTAAACATTTTCCATTGCCACATTTTAGAACCAATATGAGAAACATAAAGAAGTGCTGGCAGCTCAGGGAGTGAAGATCCTTGGTAAGGATTTGGAGAAAGCATTGGCTGGTTTACCGCTGTTGGTTGCTCACAAAGATGATGAAATCCCAGTCCTTAGAGTAAGTAGTAAATGCAGTGATTTCATAATTTACAGTAGGCCGATGTGGATTGCCTGCCATCACTTATTGATGTATATTTGTGGTTATTTTTAGGATGAGCTCATCCATGAGTTGAAACAGACTTTAAATGCCATCAAACTGGAAGAAAAGGGGGTTTATGTGCAGGCCTCCACACTAGGCTCCTTAGAGGCTCTGCTTGAATTCCTGAAGACCTCAGAAGTGCCAGTAAGTGTCGCATCGTATTACCTCCATGACTGTGCTATTTTATTGTCAGGTTTTGCTTTTGTATTTGCTAATTGCCATGTAAATGTGGGTTATATACAGCATGTAGTATGGCTGCACCGAAATTTTCGGCCGCTGAAAATGGTACTACGTATGGCACAGGAACCGAGGGTACTAAGTTTGCCTTGCTGTTCAGGTAACGTTTAAAGTGTGTTTGTGAGAACAGAAATATGAAAGCTGACTTTAGGAAGTCTCCAGGGTCGTCATTTTGATCTTGGGTTGACTGTCTACCGTGTTTCCCCCGAAAGTAAGACCTAGCACTATCTTTAGAGATTCCTGTAATTAAAGACCTACCCCGAAAATAAGACCTAGTTTGGTGGTACGGAAGCATGCACTTTACCGCACTGTCCACCGCTGGCAGGGTCGTAGGAAGGGCAAGGCAAGGCTTGGAGGGGGCGCACATGTATTGCTGCATCCAAGCAGCCAGCCAGGAGTCCGAGAGTCACGTTCAATTATATGAGCAGCTGGTCTCCTGGAGTCTGCATGTATAAAACTCACTCTGTGGGATGTCAAGGACCACAAAACATTTCATGCAATGAAAAAGGAATCACCATGAGGCTGGGACGGGGCGCAGCCAGGGCCCTGATATTCTGTCATTTGGGGATGGGGGCGGCCCAGAGAGCAACCAGAGTACACGGCGGGGACTAACCGCCGCGCCGCAGCTCCCACATGCTGCCCGGGTCACGAAATCAGCAGACACCTGTCTGCCTCGGCTTTTGCTTAGAGAGCTGCCGCCGGGCAGAAAACTACACTTCCCAGCAGGCACAGCACGGCATGGCCAGTGGGGTCGGAGTGAGGTGAGGTGACTGAGCCTCAGTCACTGAGGGAACTTCTGACATTAAAACATTAAAAAAAATAAGACATCCCCTGAAAATAAGACCTAGTGTGTTATTTTGGGGAAAAAAAAATATATAAGACTGTCTGTCTTATTTTTGGGGAAACACGGTAGTAAGTGGCGGTCCTGGAGCAAGCATATAGCCACTAAGTCTGCAGTTGCTGCAGGTCAGAGACTTCCTAGGTAGTGACGCCAATGGCAGCATGGTAGTCTTAGGGGCCTGCACCTTTATGAACTAAGCAATTGCAGCCTCTATATTTCTGTCACACATAGGTTCTCTTTAGGATGGTGGAAATCCTGCCTTAAGCACGGGAGTGTAGAATGGGGAGGAGTAATAATCCTAGGAAAGCAAGTTCTTTGATATCTGTGAATGCTTTTCTACTATTGTCATGGGATGGGATTATTGGATTTGTTATTATTATCCAAGGTAATACTTAAAATAAAATATGGGTAGATAAAGGTTATTAAAACTCAATTTTTTGTTGAACTTACAGCCGGATGGATACAGTGAATGTACAAGTGAAACAACCATATTCTAGTTTACGTTATGATTGCTGTACATGGGCCTTTCTCAGTTTGGGTTTTGCTTTTTAATAGGGATGCACCGATACAGATTCTAGTATCGATATTTATGCCGATACCGAGTATTTGGCCGAGTACTCAGCCAAATGCTCCCAATACTTATCCTGATACCGGAAGTTCTGGTATCAGGAAGCCAGGCGGCGAGTCATTACATGCCGCCCAGCTTCCAGATTGGCCGGGAAGCTGGCTCCATGCTCCCTAGTCACCAGGGTGCATTTAGCTTGTTTCCCTGCAAATCAGGAAGCCAGCTCCATGCTCCCTTGTCACTTCCCGGCCAATCAGCAAGCTAGACGGCGTGTAATGACTCACTGCCCCGCTACCTGATTGATGGGGAAGCTGGCCAATCAGGAAGCCAGCTACATGCTTCCTCGTCACCTGGTGGCTCTGTCCTTGGACCCCTTCTCTTCTCTATCTACACCTCCTCCCTTGGTCAGTTAATAACCTCACATGGCTTCCAATACCATCTCTGTGCCGATGACACTCAAATATATATCTTTCTACTCCACACCTCTCCCCCTCAGTGTCCTTGCGTGTCACTAATCTACTAACTGACATATCAGTCTGGATGTCACAACATTTCTTAAAACTCAACCTTTCAAAAACTGAGCTCATGATATTTCCTCCACCCCGTGCACCTTCCCCCAACATTTCAGTTGTGATTGATAACACAACTATCCAACCCTCCCCTCATGCCAAGGTCCTAGGTGTCATCCTTGACTCGGACCTCACCTTTCTTCCCCACATCCAATCACTATCCAAATCCTGCCGCCTTCACCTTCGTAACATCTCAAAAATACGCCCCTTCCTCACCAATGACACCGCAAAACTACTCATACACTCCCTTGTTATCTCTCGTCTTGACTATTGTAACTCCCTCCTCATTGGCCTTCCACTACACGGGCTATCCCCCCTTCAGTCTATCATGAATGCTGCTGCTAGACTCATCCACCTAACCAACCGCTCAGTGTCTGCATCCCCCCTCTGCCAATCCCTGCACTGGCTTCCAATAGCCCAAAGGATAAAATTCAAAATATTAACAACCACTTACAAAGCCATCCACAACTCCGCCCCCGGATATATCTCAGACCTCGTCTCAAAGTATCACCCTAACCGTCCCCTCCGCTCATCCATTGACCTCCTGCTTTCCAGCTCTGTCATCAACTCCTCCCATGCTCGCCTCCAGGACTTCACTAGAGTCTCTCCCATCCTATGGAACTTTCTACCCCAACCTTTCCGTCTATCTCTCACAGTGACTGCCTTTAGGCGATCCCTTAAGACTCATCTCTTCAGGGAAGCCTATCCCACCTCAACCTAACCGCTGAACAATCACTTTCTTAAACAATCATCCCCGTGCAGCTACCTCCTCATGTATCACTTCCCCTTCCCTTTTAGATTGTAAGCCCTCAGGGGCAGGGCCCTCCTTACCATCTTGTCTTAAATTGTATTGTGATTGTAATGTCTTCCTTATATTGTAAAGCGCTGCGCAAACTGTTGGCGCTATATAAATCCTGTATAATAATTATTCTAATAATAATGAGGGAGCATGTCGCTGGCTTCCCAGCCAATCATGAAGCCGGGCGGCGTGTAATGACTTCCTGCCTGGTTTCCTGATTGGTCAGGAAGCTGGCCAATCAGGAAGCCGGGCGGTGAATCATTACCCGCCCCCCAGCATGGAGACGGCTTGCCGGCGTGTCATTAAACACTGCCCGACTTCCTTAATGGGACTTCTGGTATCGGTATTGGGTATCAGCAATTACTCGAAACCGAAAAAAAAATCAGTATCTGTGCATCCCTACCTTTTTAATATACATGCATTGTGCCTTCTGACCCATTTTTTTATTCCTTTTAGTATGCTGGAATTAATATTGGACCCGTTCATAAAAAAGACGTTATGAAAGCTTCTGTGATGTTGGAACATGATCCTCAGTGAGTAACTTCTGTCCATCAGCAGTGTGTATATCAGCACATTAAGCTTCTGACTTGTGCATATTGTTAGCGGAATGTGGAGGAAATTACTAGTAGCACTAGTGGAAATATTTGGAAATATGTGTTGACTGCTGTTTGCGGGTTCATTCTTTTTTTTTCTGCTCCACTTCATTAAGGGAGTTTATAGTCTCTCCTTTTTTTTTTATTTTCCTGCTTGACCGTTCTACCTCTTCACTCCCCAGGTATGCTGTGATTTTAGCTTTTGATGTTCGAATTGAGAGAGAAGCTCAGGAAATGGCGGATAGTTTAGGTGTGCGGATTTTTAGTGCTGAAATTATCTACCACTTGTTTGACGCCTTCACAAAATACAGACAGGACTACAAGAAACAGAAGCAAGAAGAGTTCAAGTGAGTGATATGTCTTCTATGTTACATCCAAATAGGGCTGCAACAACTAATCGACATAATCGATTATAATCGATTATTGAAAAAGTTGTCAACTTTTTCAAAACCTGGTCTGCGAAATATAAAGGCTTGAGTATTTGGTATTCATTTATTAAGTATTCATTTAATATTTTATTGTTAACACCATTGCATTCTCTGCCGTATGATGTATGTATGTGGTACATTTTAGGCGCGCTTGAGCATTGTGCTTACAGAACTGCAGGCATATCGCACACCTTCCATACACAAGAGAAGGATTCAGTGCAGGGCCTCAACACTGCACTGTTCTCTTCCTTTAAAATGCACTGACATTTCCCCATGTGTTCCTGGATGTGCAATTTTACAGCCAGGCATTATAAGTACTAAGTAATCCATGGCAGCGGGGCACAGGCATATGTAAATGTGCCTGTGTGCAAATAGTTTGGAGGCCTCAAAGCAGCCAAGTCTGCTGCCTGTACTTAAAATTTTCTGTCCTGCAGCAGAAAAGTCATTGAATATTCTGGTTACTGTCATCAAAACAAATGCTTTTCTGCAGCCCTTGTAAATTGGTCTCCTAGGGCTTTATAAAAGTTGCAGGAATGAACAAAGAAGGTTGCGTAGGTTGGCAAATTAGGCATCCAAGTATATAAGGAACCTAATGTTGGTTTCTGCTCCTGAAGCTGCCCATACACTAATATTTTCTTTGCGTAAGCATTGATCGAGGAATCTCCTGCTGTCTTTATTGTGCTCTGACCCGGCCGCTGTCAGAATGCCCGAAATTGGCACAGTGGGTGCCACTCTCAGCACTCTTGCGGCTGGCATCCCTTCATCTGGATGTCACAACACTTCTTAAAACTCTACGTTTCAAAAACTGAGCTCATGATATTTCCTCCTGCCAGTGCACCTTCCCCCAACTTTTCCCTTGAGATTGATAACACAACTATCCAACTTTCCCCCATGCCAAAGTGCTAAGTGTCATCCTTGACTCGGACCTCACCTTTCTTCCCCACATCCAATCACTATCCAAAATACGCCCCTTCCTCACCAAAGCAAAGCTACTCATCCACTCGCTTGTTATCTCTCGTCTTGACTATTGCAACTCCCTCCTTATTGGCCTTCCTCTGCACAGGCTATCCCCCCTTCAGTCTATCATGAATGCTGCTGCTAGACTCATCCACCTAACCAACCGCTCAGTGTCTGCAACCCCCCTCTGCCAATCCCTACACTGGCTTCCAATAGCTCAAAGGATAACATTTAAATTATTAACCACTTGCAAAGCCATCCACAACTCTGCCCCAGGTTACATCTCCAACCTGGTTTCAAAATATCAACCTAACCGTCCCCAATGCTCCTCCCAAAACCTCCTGCTTTCCAGCTCCCTTGTCAACTCCTCCCATGCTCGCCTCCAGGACTGATGTAGAGTCTCCCATCCTCTGGAACTCTTTACCCCAATCTGTCCGTCTGTCTCCCACTCTGACTGCCTTTAGGCCAGCGGTTCTCAACCTGTGGGTCGGGACCCCCTCGGGGGTCGCATGACAATTTGCCAGGAGTCGCCGGGAGTCAGTGGCATAACAACGGGGGGCCGCCGGGTAGCGATAAGCGGGCTGGCCGGGAGGAGCACAATATTGAAACAGGCAGACCCGGCGGTAATCATGTAGTTGAGTGGACCGGGCTTTTGCTGTAAGGATCTCAGCTCCGCCCCCTGTGCTGACTTCGATGCCGCTCATCCCACACTGTGTCTCCAGCTGTCCTCTGCCATGTGCCTTCTCTGGAGCCTCACACTACCTCCTCGGGGCCACTCTCTGCACTGTGGGAGGAGCCATTCTCTCCTCTCTGTCCTCACTGCCTCCTGGTCCCGAGCTGCAGGTACTAGTCTGTGTGTGTCTGTCTGTTTGTCTGTATGTGTGTGTCATTGTATGTATGTATGTGTGTCATTGTATGTGTCGCTGTGTTTGTCAGTGTGTCATTGTATGTGTGTGTCATTGTATGTGTGTGTGTGTGTGTGTGTCATTGTATGAGTGTGTCATTGTATGTGTGTGTGTCACTGTGTTTGTCAGTGTGTCATTGAATGTGTGTGTGTGTCACAGTGTGTGTGTGTGTGTGTGTGTGTGTGTCTGTCCCTGTGAGCTTGTAAGCTTCATCAAGTCCTAGTTCCCAATTCCTATGTGTCTGTGTCCTGTGCATTGTGTGACGTGTTGTATATCACTGATAGATATACTGTATATTCTATATAATAATCCAGGTCAATAAAAGAGAGAGAACTTTCCTGTGGAAGGTTTCTACACTATCGGTACACAATTTGCAGGCATCACCGCCCTCCCCAATGGTGGATTTCCGGCACCTAATCCTGTCCACATACATTTTATTTAGGAATAATAACACTTTGATATGGAGGGGAAGTGTACAAGGACAATGAGGGCATGCTCGGACCTGTAGTTCCCAGGGTGATATGTGGTGTACAGGGATAATGAGGGCATGATGGGACTTGTAGTTGTACAGCCTCCGCATATCACCTAGGGAACTACAAGTCCCAGCATTCAGTGGCGTCACAAGGGGGTGCAGCCCGCACCCGGATGCCACCAGTGGAGGCGGTGACACCAATATGACTGACGGTCATTTTGGTGTGACCCCCTCTAATAATAAATAGTAATAAAAATAATAGTATTTTTTTTCTAAAAGAAAACATAAACCTTTTATCATCATTATTATTAATAATAAAAGCTGACACCCTCGGCTTGTGTTATATGGTTTGCCATTTTAGCTGTTACAGCAGTGGTTCTCAACCTGTGGGTCGCTGTGTGATTTCTGCTGTGCAAGGTGAGAGTCCTCCTCAGCCCTCTCCTAGTGCAGCAGTGTCAGTTCTCCCGCCACGCCGCCAGATGTCGCTGCAGCAGCCCCGTCATCCCTAAATTTTACCGTTGGGGGTCACCACAACTTGGCAAATGTTACCAAGGGGTCCCGGCCCTAGAAAGGTTGAGAACCACTG